CACATATGGGCAAGGAATGGAAGAAGAGAAAGAAGGTAGATGCTTTCTACATTTCAGTTTCAAATGAAACACTTCAGTTAGTTTGCATTACTGGACTTATATGGACAGCCTGGAGAAAACCAGCCATGGACAATGCTCCTTCATTTACCAAACTGGGGAAGCTGTGGCTGAAACACATGTGTTATCCCTTTACTCTTCTCAGACTTGCCACAGAGCCTTTAATAGCTTCCCACTGGAAACTGGCAGGAAGGTCATTTCTCGCCTCCCTTTTGGCATTTATACCCCATTAACATTTTCTACTTGCATGGAGAGCATGTCTTTGGCAGGGAGGAAAATGTGACTTTAAAGTGATAGGCATGGACTATCCTTAGTCACAGAAATGGAAAAGGAACTGCTGGCAAAGGATCCTACCCCCAAAGGAAACACTTTTGGAGCAAAGTGGAGGCATCGCCCTTCCCACTGAAGGCTGATGCACATTCTATTTGAATGCAACACAGTAAGTCAAGGAAAATTTTTTTCTCTCCTTCAAGGTCCTTTCCTTATGCTCACAAACCACCACTACAAACCACAGCAGCAGCCTAACTCCTCTGTGCATTTTGGGGAGAAGCAGTGATAGAGATGGAGTCTAGACCCAAAAGGGCTCCTCGGAGTTGGCATTATTCACAGAAAAATTCCCTAGGGAGTTACTATGACAGTACAGATGGAAAATCTTTGGAAAGTCTTTAGTAGTTGCAATATTTTGAGTGGAGACAGTACACTGGAAATCCCCAGCTCTTCTACAGCTACAGAAACTCTTTATACACCCCCTTCCCCTCCATACAGTCTATGTTCCTGATGGAGATATGAGTATTCAACTTTAACTCACTGTGACTGAGAGAAAGCCACAGGGTCTGTATCTCTAGCAAAGAAGGGTGAGGATAAGGCATATCCTAAATTGCAGATTTTCTTATGTACTGATCATTACAGTGCCAGTTACAGGAATGATGAACTCAAAACTACCATGATCTAACTCTTTCCTCCAGATTCTTAAAAGAGCCCCAAGAAAACAATGCTCCCAAATCTCTAATCAGCTCCTGATTCTACGAGGCTTGCTATATCCAAGAAGACTTGCTCTTTTCAATACTGGTCAAAAACAAAACTCCAAGAAACTCAGCATCATCTCCAAGTCTTCTTCTCCAGAGCAATTCCTGATGCTGATATCAGGCACTAACAGATCTTCCAGCTGTTGTATCAGATGGCACCAACCCTCCACAAACAGTAGGAGAGCAGTGATATGGCAGCACAAAGTCTGACACCACTTCAATTTTTTGTTCTGGACATTGAGCATTCTTCAGAGACCTTTGCTCTCTCCAAATGTGACTGTCCCCATAGAAGGCTCAGGACACTCCTGAACAGCCTGGCAGCCAATAAGAGAGTTTTCTGAGATACCCTGGGCTCAAAGTTCCCTGTTGAAAATCCTGGCCAAGAGTCACACTGGTCAGAAAGGGAAGCAGGTTTTAACCTCTTTTTCTTATTAGTATTGCACAAGAGAACCTTCCCACTCCACCCCAGTCTGCTATGCCCATTCAACTAAACTTGTTGACGAGGAGCCAAAGAGCACAACAAAAAGAAATTGGACTTCATATGAGAGGCTATGACTCATTTACAAATGAAGTGTTGCACGTATTGTGGGAGTCAGGAAGGCCAGCATCGATTTCACAAGTGAAGAGTACATGCAACACCCCAGCACAGCTAGAGTAACTCAAGGAAGAGATGTGCAGGAAACAGCATTCTCACTCACACCACAAAAAGTTCACCTGTTGCACAGTAGTTTTACTGTAATGCAAAAGAGCATCGAGTAAGAGCTCTGGAGTTTTTTTTCTCCCTTGGTCAAGTGAAGGTGGTGAAAAAATACTTTTGATGGAGATGGTCAACACTTGAGAGTATAACAGCATAGTTAATAATTTTCTAACCCAAAAAAGCAACCAAAACTTGTCTCCTTCCCTCCTCTAGTCAGCTGAATGCACAATGATGTGGCTGCTTTGAGGTTGAAAGATCAGAAATATCATTCTGTGATGGAACAGCAGTAAGTACTCCCATGGCACAGTATTCCCCTGGACAAAACCATTCCATTGAACTTTTTCCCCTAAAAGGTCTTTTAAAAGTCTGGATTTTAAAATAGTATGGGCAACTAAATAAGAGCCAGCACATGGCAGGGGGAAAAAGAAAAGAGAGGATGGACATGGCATAAGCCCACACATTTTTCCCACCATTCAGATACCAATGGACCAACTTCTCCCTTGCTCATCTCCTACAAACCAAGCATATTTGGTGTAAGTGCAGTAAATCCTGGGAAACTCCTGCAGGACCTTCACAAGTTACACTAATTCTTTACCAGCACATCACAAGTTTCTGCTGGACCTGTAACTCCTCTTTCACCCCATGCTGTGCAATGATCCAGGGATACCACCCTGCTGGCTACCAGGGGCACATGAGAAATTGTTTTCTTGGTTTTTTTGCTGCTTTGGACATATACATCTGTCACTACTTAGATGCTGTAGCACAAAAATAGGGAACAATAAAAGAGGAGAAAGATAGACTTGTAGTATTATCTAGCTGGTACAGAAGAACAGACATGGCACCACCACAGAGGTGGCCTGCAGGAGTCACACATGAGGCAGGACCTGGCAAACAGGTCCTTGCTCTGGAATCCTGAGGCAGAAGCAGTTTTGAATGAGATGTGAGACAGATTCAGCCACAGCACTGACAGTCCACTGGACACGATGCTACAGCTAAGTTTGAGATGCCTGAAAGAGAAATTTACTTCACACCATCTTGGACCAGAAATACCTGTTTCAGAAGGAGGTATTGGTGGGCAAAATGAACGTCTTCCTTGTGAGTATGTCACAGCATCAGATAAAAAATTTGATTTCACTTTGCATTTATCCTCATCAGCCTACTTGCACATTTATGCCTTCCTTCAGCAACAAGATCCAGTATTAGTCAGTTATAGCAACAAGAAAAGGTTATTCACTGAAAAAGACCAGAAGGCACAGTCTGCCAACCACAACTCTCCTGTAGCAGAACCAGCACGTTTCAGTTGCTCAGGATTTTGCTGGTCATGAGTCTGGGGTCACTCATTGCAGAGACACCAAGCTCGGGAACAGCCTTCTGCTGTTGCAGGGCAGCCCTGCACAAGAAGGAGTTTAACAGAACCAACAGGCACCCATCAGACAAAAAGACTTTTCATATCAAGATCTTCCTTTCATGAACTTAGGCCCTTCTTAGTGGGGTCAGTAAATACAACATGCCATGCTGGTAACTTCAGGCATCATCTTGTTCAGAGAAAAAATTAAAACCAAACTATTTTCTCATCAGGAAGTACTGATTTCTACTTATTTTGGGCAAGTCACTGAGTCTGGAAATTCTGGCTATAAATTTGCTACAAAAGCATGCTAAGAATTTCTATATGGGGAAACCTGTACAAGCAAAAGTGACTACATCAATCTCTTATAGGCCTGGAGTCAAGTTTCAGGTGAAGCCTCCCTTTCCTGCTTCTAGAAGAGCAAAAGAGATGCCTAGTGAGCAAAAACTCAAATAAACCACACAAGCAGTCCTTCAGCAAGCCACCCAGACACAAATGACTGACCATCCCAGAGTTCTGCCACTGGAAGTCACCCTTGGATACTGACAGCGGCATCAGTTGCAACTCAGCATGGCCCTGCCTTCCCCACGTCATGCAGAGTAATGACCCGACCTGGCAAACATGGCTCACAACACCTCTGGTCAGATGAGTCAGATGTGTGATTTATTCAGTGCCCAAGGCCAGTATGTCTTTGTGTTCTCCCCTTCTCATTTTTTATCTATCTTGCTAACTCTCCCCAGTTCCAATCAACTCTAAGTTAAATAAATATGGAATCACAAAACTGCATTCCCTCTCTTTTCACCCAAGTGTTAACAGGAGTAAAACTATACAGAAAAGGTAATGCTGCAAGTAGGTATTGCTCCCATTGTGCAGGACTACGTTATCTTTCCCATTGTCATCAAAATCATCTTTTCATTCTACCTATAACACACTGCTTGGAAAATAATTAGTAATAACCAGGAAAACAAGACTTCCTTTCCACACAGAAACAGTCTGTAACCATCACTCTTGCCCTTTTGCTTGTAAGCAATATTCTTTTCCCCCGCTTGCCTTACTGTTTCTTTGTAGGTTGTAAACTCTTTGAAATGGGGACTAAAGCCATGTGGGAATCCATGAAGTCTTAATCAGTTCTGAGATGTTCCACCCATGCAAATAAATGAATACTGAATCAAGGGATGAGGGAGGGGAAGGAAAATCCATGTGCTTTAACATTTTGGTTCCCCAGTTGACAACTGTACATATTGCTACATCCCTACAAAGGAAACTACATTTGGAAATTTGGACTGCAGAGAATTTGCCAGATCTATAGCGCAATGAGTTGTATGTAGTGCAAACAAATATTGATGTATGTATTTAGAAACAAAATAAAAACACCAAAGAGGCATCTTCCTGGTGGCACTTGGATACTTAGGTACCTAACACCAACAAAACCCCAGATGCTCCAATGCAACCACTTGAATCCATGACTCTGAAGCTATGGAATTAGAAATTACTATATAGCTTGGCTATATATTTTTATCCCCTGAGAAAAATCCATTTGTCATACTATCCATTTGTCATACTACTACTATTACTAAAAAAAAAAAGCTATAACAACTCTTGATAATACTTAAAGAAAGCTAGAACATCTTTATCACGTCTGATTTCCTCCCACTACTCAATTCTGATTTCTTCCCACTACTTAAACATCCTAGTAGCTGTAGTGTGTGTTATACCACATTTGTAGGTCAGAGATATTCCACATTTCCTGCCCAAGTGTCTTTGGTCTTTGCTAAGGACACTTTGCCCAAGTGTCTTTGCTAGTCCCTCCAAGGAAACAAAAGAGCCCCCTATGCTGTAATTCTTTCCAAACTCCTGGGACACGGTCAGCACTCACCTGTGCATGTTTCCATTGGTGGTGAAGGACTGTCCACATACTGAACATTTATAAGGCCTTTCACCTGAGTGCACCAGCATGTGGCGATCAAGGGAGCTCGCTGAGCTCAGAGACTTTCCACAGATGCTGCAGGAATGGTCTGTCCCTCCAGTGTCAGTGTTATGCTGGAGAAAGCAATGATTTTTTTTTTCATTGAATGTCCCTTCTGAAGTGCCAGTAAAATATCAGCAAGAACTATAAACATCTTAAATTAAGCAGCTCTAAAGAGCTACTTGGCACAGCACCTTAAATGAGGGTGTGCCCTGTAGATACCTCTCTTCCCCAGCCCTCCTCCCTCAACTGCAGCCCCCCTCCTCCTCCCTCATCTTTAACCCCTTAATGCACCAGCACACGTAGCTGTTTCATACAGCCTGCAATGCAGCAATTCTGCTGGGTCTGCAGCAAAAGAAGATACAGAGGGACTCAGCAACAACCCATCAGACAAATGGAACCTTGGGATACTTGAAGCTATGCAGTGGTTTGGGGCTGTATGAGTGGTAAGGAAAGAGGATGGAATTATGAACTTCACAGTGGAAGACAGACACTTAAAAACAAGTTGTCTTTAAAGATATTAATTTTTAACTTACTGCATAGCAAGACAACAAAACTAAACTGCTTCTGAGTGTACATGAAGACTTCTATGGCCATGAGAATGCATTACAAGGTCAAGTAATGGCCATAGCCACAGTGCTGTATGTACCAGTCTTTCTCACTTGCATTCAGAGACTTGAAGATTTCTTCACATACAAAAAAAATCCCCAAAAAACACCAGGAGAGTAAGAAAAAAATAATTAAGTAACAGCTGCAGTACAGGAGGAAAAACTGAAGTAATAAGTATCTAGTGAAGCCAGTCATCAACCACACCTTAGCATCCAAAGCAGAACCTTCTGCTAGAGAAAAGGGCAAACCTCCTTATTAAGCATGCATATATTTCAGGAGGAGCAAGAACAGGCCTGTAGATGACAAAAAAAGTGCACTATCCAGTAAAAAAAAAAGAAAAAAAAAAGCCTCTCAAAACTGCTATATCCTGTGAAAGACTGAGAGTCTCTTCTCCACTGAGTTGATTTAAAAATGATGTCTTCCTGCTTCTTAATTTGCATGACCAGTAAAAAGATCTGTACTCAAACAGGATAATAAAACAGGACTTAGGCCTCATGATGAAAGTGGTTTTCCGGATCCTTAGGATACCTTAAGCAATGCAGAACAGGACACACATCCTTGTTTGAGCCACTGGGGGGAGGGGGGGGGTGTGGAATGCCAGGCAAGGAAGGGAGGAAAATCACCCACCTCAGGGTTAGGTTTGTGGGGTGTGCTTTTTGAAGAAAATGCAAGAGAAGGCCAAAATAAAAGGGAAACAATGGAAGCATTTCATTGGCTTGCACATGGAACTGTTTTACATCACTGCAAAATGCAACCTGGCAAAGGAAACACTCTTAATAAAAGTAAGAAACCAAGAGCTCTGCATACCTGACGAATGTGCATAGTTAGCTGGTGCTGTGTAGTGCAAATCTTTTCACACAGAGGACAGGTATAGGAAGACTTCTCTTCTTTTGTTTCCTGTGGACAAAAGAGAACAAAACAATCAGAAGGAATATCAATGTAAAAGGACTAGAAACCCGTCAGTGATGAGGATGGAAAAACATAATCCATCCCAAGTACAAAAGGCCATTGCTAAAAGAATAACTGGCATTTATCAAGTGATAGATCCCTCAAGCAAGTTTCAGAAACTTCTGAATTTATAAACAGGGGCCATTTCAACTACCACAGAAGTACAGCAGCTGTTTTAACAGCACACAGATACTCAGCAGTAGTAATTTAGGACAGGAAGTGAAGGCAATTGCAAGGAGCTCAAACTGCCAGGAGGAATTTAGCTGACCAGAAAATAATTCCTGGAACATCATCAGAATACATGGGCAAACATCATTATTTTTCCCAAAGATTTTTAATAGCACAAGTTGTCAGAACTTCAGATTTTCCACCTCATCTTGATGGCAAAGCACTATCTTGGTGCCCTTTTGTAGGGGCTGCACGCTCTCTATGGCTGACTCAGAAGGAAGAGTGGCATTTACTGAATCATCAGCACCATTTCCTTCAGCATCCTGTGTTTCTGCTGGAAGCATCCCATCCAGGCACACCAGCCAGGCCCCACCCTTCTGAAGCTCACAAGATCTGATGAGATCATGGCAAGAAAGAGGTGACAATGCAGGAGTGTACGTGACTCCAAAAAAACCCATTATGAACCCCATCATTCTCTGCCCAGGTGAGAATCAGAAGTTGATGGTCAAACCACAGTACAAACAATGAAGCCGACCCGGAGAGCTAAACCTGATTTAAGTATGCCCTTGAGACACAGAGCAAAGCCATCACTCTTCCAGCCAAGGATGAAATGACACACTTGCAGAAACCAAAGCTGTTTGCCTCAATTTGTCCACAAGGATGGCTGCTGGATGATGTAAAGGGCATTTTCACAACCTCACCAGAAGCCAGGCATGGCTTATGCACCAACGCCTGTATATTAAAAGGAAGATGATTTGGCACTCAAAATTAAACCTCAGTTTTCAATTTGAATGATGCATACCACTAGTGACAAGACAGTACAAAAACCATCTCTGCATGACCAGTGGGAAAGCATAATTTTTATGCCAGTGACATTTTCTACTCAAGTTCTTTGCGGTTGTCTTAAGTATCATTAGTAAAAGCTTGAAAACAAGCAAAAAGCAGAACCCATTCTCAGCCCTTCTTTAGCTGCAAGCTGATGGATAGGAGTGTGTCTATGCATTTCCTCTCTCCACACAATTCTCTTTCCCCAGTGATATTCCAAAGTCATCAACTCAGAAGCAACCATTTCCAGGCTGTCAGACACAAGCACTCACAAAGAACATTGTGAATGACTAACCCAAGTCTCTGTGACAAATTTGCTGGCACATTAGGACGGTGAGTCGCTGACACAGAGTTAGAGAAAGTTCTTTTTTTATGTCTCATTAAAAGCAATATTCCCTCCTGCATGATTTGGGGAACCATACTAGAGAGTGCCCGTATTATGTTTTGTTTTCAAAAACAGGGCCATAATAATTTTGCAATAACTTCTGTGACCTGTGGACATGGATGAAGAGCTGTTCCCATTTGTTCTGAAGAAAACAAGTCTTGAGACTTTGTTTCTAAAATGAAAGGATTAGGTTGTCCCACTCCTCGCCATTCTTTTGCTTGTACATGTTTTTCCAACTACATTTCAGCCTCTACATCCCAAAGGTAATCACTGTAGGCCACACATACAGGCCAAGGTCTAATGTACTAGTGCTTGCAAAAGATTAGAAAGAAAGCAAGAAAGGCTGCCATTATGAAGTCTGAACTCTCAAAGAAAATTAAAATGCATTATCTCAGTGCCCCTCTCCCAATTTTTTATATACAAACGTGTAATTCACAAACATTCATTCCATCCTACTAATACAACTTTAATTTTACTACATGCAACCCGACCGTGGAGTAATGTTCAGCTCCAATTATACTGCACCCTGTTAAAAGCTGGCTCAAGACAGAACACAAACACACTGTGCCATGAGGAAAATCCCTGCATACGTGCTGACAGTTTAGATGATGTTTAATCCCCAGGCTATTTCTGAAAAATTATCAACCCACTACTGGTTTTTGTCCCACTCCTCTTTAAACGAGTGCTGCAGTTCTTCATGATGCACTTGATGATTTCAAAGCCTGCTTTCCAGGCTGCCTTTCTTCAAATCAGCAAATTAGCAGAAGATAGAGCAATTACTAGTTCACCTTGAAGCAAAGATCAGAAACACACTATAGTTCAGCCAGAGCTGATTAGTATTGAATCTGGGGTTTATTATTAACTAGAACCCAAACTTTCTCCAGTGGTCAGACAGGCTACAAGCTGCATACCGTAACACAGCTCAAGCAAATCTGTTGACTAACCCAATCCAGACCAAAAAACATTAGCATCCCTACTGTAAGAGTACCCCCATTCACCAATTTAAAACACAGCATTCAGCTACCCCACCAGAGCCAAGCTGGTGAAAACACAGTTCTTGAACTGAAAGATAAAATTAGCAGCTCATTTGTCAGCTACTCTCCCTTTAGTAAGTCAATCTGGCACAACTGCTCTGCATTCAACTGATGGCAAATGCTTTTGGAGCTGTGCTTGAAGTCTGTCTGTTTTTCTCCAGCCCAAAAAACACCTCTGTCACATTTTTTATTTTTGTCAAGAGCAAAGCAAATGAGAAGTTAAAATATATGCAGGTTGATGTGAGAACATGCTTTTTAGACTATGGGTAGACGGCAGCCAAGATAAAGTCAGCATTATAAAGAGAACCATAGACTTTGGGACAAAGGTTCAGGGCAAAATGTTTCACTGCCAACTCGTGGGAAACAGCGATCAGATCCAGAAAATCAGCTGTTATTATCCTTGAAATTATAATAAGGGGCATATTCTGACCAGAATCTGAGGTCCCTGCATTGCTACACACTAAAACAATTCAGTGCTTTCATTCTGCTAGCTGAAAGTGGAAATTTGCTGTATTAAAGCCTGCTAACAAGATTGATACCCACTTAGTATTTCACATCTCACTTCTGTTTTCTCAGTAATGTAGCCATTTGCCCCTCTGGCTTTAACAATCTTTCAGCCTAAAGACAAATAGGCAATTTACTATGTTTTCAATGTATTTGTTTATTTTTATGCTGTAAGAATCCCTCTTAATCCTGTCACATTTACTCTAGAGCTTCCTTTGATTTGATGCCCACCGAAATACCAGGTGGAATAAAGGTCACCAACACTAATAAACTTCCCTGAAGCCAGACCACATGGTGTACCGGTGGACAGCTGAGTAACAGCACTGCCCTGAGACTGGTCTGGACTCCGGTGCCTCACTTCACATGATGAAATCAAGGAACCAGAGCAGCCCCTAAGTGAGAACATTGTAAATACACCTCAGAGCCAGGTGCTAATCAATAGAATCTCACAAACACAGCTGTCTGTATACTGCCCATTCCTCATTTGAGGATGTGCATTTACAGCTAATGGCTTTTAACTCCTTTCATGCTAAAAAATCCAAGACAAGTCATAAGTCTGTCAACTGGGCAGCTACTCAGCAAGCTATTAATAAACTACTATAGGAACATCACATGAGTCACGCCTCTCAACCTTTCTGGTCCCTGTTACATCTTGATTCGTTTACAAAGTCTGTGTGCTTCACTTCAAGCTCTGAAGTCAAATGACCACAGGGATTTGGGTTTTTTTTTGATATTCTACAGCACCTTCTTTGGTGGAGCTTGGCTCAGCAGGAGAAAAACACGGATATAAATAACTGCAGCTTAACTGATACGACTCTCTCCTTTCACTTGTTTAGATCAATATTGCTACCACCTGGTGCCATCAACGGGTAAATGGAAAAAAACTGATAAAAGCTACATATATTTACTCTGCAAAATTCATACAAGGCATTCTGCACTAGCTCTTCAGGCTTTTATTAACAAGGAAGTTAAGGGCACCTTACACTACACATATGAACTGAGCATCCTGATGAATATTTTGTTCCAGAACCATCTTTAACCATAAATTACTTGAACCTTCCATGGGGCAGCTGCACGCCTCATGAGATTATGTGAATGCAAGAGCCTGGAGAAAAGATGCAGCAGGACAAAATGGCAATTCTTAGGTGACTTTGTTGTTGCTAGGGGCATCTGCTAGACCAGCTCAACATTGCATGGCACTGGAGCTCATGCTCAAATATTTGTCAGTCCAAGCATGTGGACCCTTCCCATTCCCAGTTTTCTAAGTTATGGTCTGGGTCTGGAGAGATACCAGAAAACATATAGAGAGGAACAATGGCAGGGGCAAGAAACAACCACTGAGGGGAAAAAAGGCAAACAGTCAAAGAAACATAAATTACATCTTATCACTTTCCAGGCAGCTGCTTGTCTCCCCTTTGCCCTCCCTGCATTTGGGTTTATGTACCTGGTTCCTCCTGCCAATCCGATTTGGTGCAGGAGACTTTGAGGGAGATTTGACATTTTGAGAATTCCCGCCGTTTTCAGCAATCTTCCCCACATTCATCACTGCTGACATCATGGCGTCAATGGAGGACAAGTCCGCTCCGTCCAAACTGTTTGGGGAACTTGGTGATACCTTATAGCTGTTTAAGCTTTCCAGCTGCTTCTCTGGAATTAAAAACAAAAACACACATAGGAGTTCCTAGGCTATCTTAAAAAAAACCCAAACAACCCACAGTATTTTCAGCTGCCTGTAGCTCACATCACACTCTGCTGGATCATCATGGAGCACAGGCAACAGGCCATAATAAGTGGAGCTCTGTAACAGGACAAGATTCTCATAATGGAATGCACAGGACAAAGTGAACATTTTTCTCATAGGACATTCCCATTTTCTTCCTTTTCAACCTTAATTCAATATGGAGCTTATATATTTACTTTATACTCTCTTGCTGTGAAATGGAATTATTTGTGGTACCTTGTGATCACCATGAACTAGTAGAGCAGTACTGATGAATTGCACTCTGGCAAGCACATTCAAGTAGGTATGTGTTTTAAACAGGACTGTGCTAATTAAGGCATTAGTAACACAGTGTAGGGTACTGGGTTCCCTTTTAAGCATGGTTTAAGCCATCTTTGTATACAGAATAAGCTAAAGTATCAAGAATCCAACCAAACCAAAACCCTCTATCCCCCATATTGCCTCTTTACTGCCACAGATGGCACACGTGTGATTTTGGTATGCCAAGCCATACTAGTCCATGGAGAATATGTTACATACATTACTAATGTCACAGCTAAAGCTGTCGAGGTTCCAACTTCTCCATCACATGCTGTAAGCAGCAGGGATGCTTCTATCTCTAATACACCTAAAATCTCATCTCTGGTTTCTTAACATACAGACATGTCAAACACACAGAAAAGGCCTTCTATTTTCTTCTTTACAGGTTTGAAAAGGAAGAGGCTTTCAAATTAAACACTCCTTTCCCCCACAAGAAGTTTCCCTAAGAAACAGGAAGACCCTGCAAGTCTACTGCTCTGTCACCTCTGGTGGAAAAGCACAGAATCTTAATGTGTTGTGAGAAAGTCACTGAAACAGAAGAGTATGTGAGGGTGAACAAGGAGGAACACGTTTGTCTGTGAACATTTGATCTCTGCATAATACTGTCTTTGGAACATAAGTTTGAGGATTATAAACAGGTGGTTTTTTGAGGCTAAGTTACGTGGTGCCAAAGTTACTGTGAGCCAAGAAAATCTTTGTTTGGAAGCCTGCAGTGGTAGCTGAGAATTTGTGTGCCCATGCTTCTGTTCAACCTATTTTATACTTTTCAGACAGATAAAAGTTAGGGATGGGAAAAGAAATGTATGCACCAGTGCTTCTGCTCAATGTATTTTACACTCTTCACACAACAAGGTGTATGGATGGGTGAGAAATGTTTCTACATTCATAATCAATGCCCTAATTTAGCTAGTTGAACCAATTACCTTCATCTTTCTCCCCTGATTGACTGTGGCTCTCTTCAGGGTTGCTGGTCTCCTCACTTAGTGTAGCATGTACAGTTGCGTCTGGCTCTTCAGCCTCTTCTTCAGCAGCACCCTCTAGCACTACATGAGGGAGAAGGCAAAAAGAGAAAGGGAGTAAGCTTTTATGGAAGCCATTTTAGGAAAGTAAGACTACTGCCCTTTATTTTGAGGGCTCCCCTGACTCCCAGATAGGTCTGATGACAGAAGCACTCCAGCAGTGCCAGTGCAGCCAAGCAGCCACTCTCATGAGTGCCCGGGCACTGAGCTGGGAGATGCTGCTGCTTCCACCAGTGGCAAAATCTGAGCAAATAAAGAAACCCCCACCAGCCTGCTGTGCAGCATTAAGGCAGCAAAAAATGGAGGAAGAGAGAGCAAGCTAGCCTATCACTGACAGTAGTGACATTTGATTGAGAAGTTGGAAGAATATTCTGCACCTAGAGAATTTAGGTGATTCAATTTCATACATGCACTGCTCCCTTCTCTCTCCTTGGAAGACTAACATTTACTCCAATCCATGAATTCATGGTGGCCACCTTCTTCCTTCTAGCAGTGGTAAAATTACTACAGAGGTTTCTGGGACCATTTGGCACATTCCTCACATCCACTGCCCAAGGTTCCCACACAAGTTGAAGACATAAGTAACCACTGTATGTACCAAGAGAATTCTTCCACACACCTTTCTGAAACCACAAACTTATCATGCTATCATTGGGGTTTAAGGAAGGGTATCTGTTCTCTCTGGAGAATGACAGAGCAGTTAAACATCATTTTTAGAAGTGATGGGGAATGATCAACACATGAGAAACAGTTGTCTGCTCACAGCACTCATGGCTATAGCCTCTGGAAAAGGTTATTTGTAATATGGAAAACTGCTGATAGGTTTTTAACAGAGAAATACACCTTTATAACCTTACAAGCAAAATGTTTATTTCATTATGAAAACAAACACACCGTGGACATTTCATCATCTCAGATATACAAATCACAACTAGTAAGCCCAATACAGGTTTTCCTTTTATCAAGACAACAGAGACAACTGCCTTCAAACCACAGTTAAGAGGGTTTCTTCCTTTAAAAAAATTACATTCTCAAGGATAATATGCAAATTAGTCATGCAACACATTTTCAAATGCTGTTTGAACATCATCAATCATTGAAAACCATCAATGACTGTGTTACCCCAACTGCCAACAATTTGGAGTGCCCAAGTACAGGCAGGCAAAAAGAAAGGGCCCACCTTGTGCCAAGTGGTTCCTCATTTCACACCATGCCAGACACAGCAGTGGATTCAACCTTCCTACATTTAGCTGCCAACCTTCTAAGGAGCGCACACAGATGCAGTCTAGAGACAAAACCTGGGACCTGACTAAGCCCAGGCAGTGTAAGGCTCAGGAAAACATCAACCTCTTAACAAACACTGCCCTCCATCTGCACCTTCAAAACCAGAAAAACAGACTAATCTGAACAACTCAAAATAACTTCTCCCTAATTATTTTTGTACTTTTCTGTTAAGAAAATAGTAGTGATCCCTGTGACATAGGGATTTCTTGCTCCAAGGTGAGGCCAAGCTCCCATCCTTCTGTGTTTCCTCCAGTAATTATGGGAGCCACTTATTTGTCTGGCTTTGTTTTAGCTGTTGTAACTGCTGTAACTTTACTGTTATTTTGTTTGTTTTTAAAAAAGGTCCATCTCATTCAAGAGCAACATAATTATTTCTTTCCCCCCTGCCCCCATCTTATTTCAGTCACTTACATGGTAGCTGAGTTACTTTTGAATAGAATAAGCAACAGAATTATTTTCAGGACTGGCCTAAATCTAAAATTGCTTGCTCCACCAGCTTAGCACTATCAAAAATAAGGACCAGTTTGAACTATTTTGAAGTATTTCTGTTAAAAAAGTGTTTTAGTCCTTAAAAAAACCCTAAACAAACAAAATACACAATTCCTTCCAAAATACACATATTCATTCCTCCTTCAGTCAATACCTAGCACATTAATGTCACCACTGATACATCCTGGAAGAAAATCTACTGTGTAACTGTGAAGACTCCTGTGTTTGCCAAGGTAACTTAAAGACAGCTTAGTTGCTTCCCAGAGAACTACAGTCAGAATTTCTAGTGTTGCTTTTAGCAACATCAAAAATGGGAAATGCACTTTCCAGAAAGAGCCTGCAGAACAGGCAGGCATATATGTACATTGAAAAACCCTACCTACTGTTTCATACAAACCTGCTACCTTGCTCTCTGTTTTTTTCACAAGGAAAACTACGTATTATACTGTTACAGTCTTTCATGGTTTCTTAGCCAACAGTTATTCTTCTTTTCTGAATCCAAATATTTTCCTCCAAAGGCAAGCAAATATATGTAGTCAGAGATCGTGTCCTTAAAACCATTTTCTGCATATTAAAAATTTCCAATTTCTAAAGTTGTCCAGAGATTGCAACTGAACTGCTCTGCATGCTTTAATCTACCTATGTATTTTCCACTCTCCTGCATGAAACAAAAATGCACCACTGAAACAAAGACAACTGCATGAGCAGCACACACCAATTTCAGAAGCATAACTTTCTATTTGCAATAGGATATAGAAACAATAAGAACGCTGGGCCAAATCACTCCTTCCTGTGGGAAAACCCGTGGCAGAGTGCCTTCAGGCAGGAACACACTGAGAGATTTCTCTTGCAGCCTTGTTTTTGGTTGCTTTTTGGTTGTGGTTTTGTTTTTTTTTTTTTTTTTTTTTTTGCTTTGGGCTGATTGTTTTTTTTTTGGTTTTTTGGGTTTTTTTTCCCCTTTAAAAAAACACATCACTGAGGATGGGGAAGTGTTGGGATTTTCTTCTACAGCACCTAAGAAACTCAGGGAATGGGACAGGCAGCAACCAGCACACATGCCCTATGCCATACTGCCTTCAGGACTGTAAACCCTCCCAGCTCACACCAAATGCCCCAGCATGGAGGTTGTGCTGACAGAGCCTCCTTCCTCCCTCTCCCCAAAAGAAAACAAAGACCTCCAGGAAAAAGGATAAACAGGAAATAAGCTGAGAAACAGTGCAGCCTCAGGTTACATTCAACATTGGACCAAAGCCTCTAGGAAACAGGGAAGTGGTCACAAGCATTCAAGTCATCTTCTACTTTGAAGAAACCCCCCAGTGTCACATTCATCCTGTGTGAAAAGGAGGAAAAGGAGCAAGTGACTAAGCAAAAGTGCTGACAAATGGTAGGGGGGACAGGACCAAACAAGACAATGCAGCCCTCTCTGCACAGCCACACCAAGAGACCTGTCTTTTCTGCAGGAACGTGTTCCTTCCACTTGATGAGGTTGCTGACAATTGAAACTGGGGCAACTTCCATCCCACAGAGAGCCTTGAGGGGCCTATAGCTCCTGCTTCTGACAGTGGTTGGCCCCTGATGCCCCACACAGCCAGCTAATGGCAGAGAAACTGCAAAAGCAGAGCTTACAAAAAAAAAAATCCACCACCTTGTTGCTTCCCATTCAGTCTGTACAGGAAGACACTTGCTAGACCTATTTCCTCCTTTGGGATAAAGTGTGACTCCACTGTATGTTAAAGCTGAACCAATCAACAGTTACTCCCCCCGCTTTGCTTATGTGTATTTATTTGGGGTTTTTTGTTTGTTTGTTTTAAGACAACTCTAAACAGCTACAGCTGTCTCGCCTTCTGGCGAAGAGCATCATGCATGAAGCAAAAAGGAGAACACAGGCCACAGGAGAAGGAAGAAGAAAGGAGAAAAAATGATGAGTTTTCAGAGTCATAGTCATTTGACTTGCAACTGAGAGTCAGATACACAAGCACAGAGCAGCACGTCCTGGCCCCTGGGAGCTGGTACAAGTCTCTGTTCCAGATTGCTCCACTGTCTGTGCACATAAGCTCTCCCTTTGGAATAGATAGGAAGAAACGCACAATGCAGGCAAGAAGGGGGAAAACCTGGTACACACAGCACAAAGCTGCTTATTGTTCTGCCTTCCGAAAAAAATCCACATTAATGTTAAAAGTAGAAGCCATGCACTAATTGGGCCAGGGAAAGATTAACACTCTTGGCCAAATAGTTTTATTGGTTTCATTAAACATACTGTAGTATTTAGTAAAGAACACAGTGGGGGAGAAGAAACAGGGAAAAGAAATGACAGGTTTAGCACTGTGCAGTCCCCCCACCATGCATTTCAAACCACTTTTTCCCATGAGGTCCAAACAGGAATCCTGAGCCCTCTTCATCATTTCCATCTTAGCAACACTATTAGCTTAGTCAAGGCTTTCCCACTGTTTTTTGTTCTAAGTGGCATGAAAAAACCCCAAGGATCATTTAAATGAAGGCCAGACCTGCTAGTATACAAATTTAGACAAGAACAGAACTTCAAAGAGAGATATAGCGCATTTGAATAAACAAAGTTTACTGTTTACCCTTGAGATTATAATACCTAAGAATCGCTACACTGCACTCCAAACTGCTTCTGATGCACTGGTCTCCTACTAAGCTTCTACACAGAGGAGAGGATTTTACTCCCAGAGCACAAATGCTCCCAAGCACAAATGGTCACTCCCACCCCAAAAGTGATGCACGCTATCACCCGCACTACCTTTTGAACATAACTTTCTGTCAAAGCTGGCAGGAAGGAAAAAGGGTGAAAAGGCATCGTGTGGGAAGAAAAAAGAGCTAACACTATTCAAAGCACTGCCTCAAGGCAAAGGAAAACCAAATGAACAAAGTTTTCCCAACTGACCTTTTTTAATACCAACTCTGCCCTTGCTACTAAAGTGCTGGTGCTGACTCTGCACCCCAGCAGTCGAAAACACTACTGGGAGCGTCACCTCACCGTCACCACTGCTGGAGCACCACTACAGGGCAGCCCATGGGAAAAGGAAGACAAGCACAGAAAGGAAGAGAGTGGCACCAGAATATCTGGGGGCTGCTCTTTCACTTTAAAGTAAAAACTAAGAATGCTACCCCAAAGCTTTTGAACTTGCTCCTGTTAGTAACATTTTCCTTTACAAAAAAACCCAAAACCAAACACAAAACCAACAACCAAAAGGAGTAACATCTATTGAAGGGTACTCTCTGAGCATCAA